AGAGGCTTGTCCCGAAGCCACTCCTGCGTTGTCTTGGCTGTGTGCTTAGGGTCGTTGTCCTGTTGGAAGGTGAACCTTCGCCCCAGTATGAGGTCCTGAACGCTCTGGAGCAGGTTTTCATTAAGGATCTCTCTGTACTTTGCTCTGTTCATCTTTGATTCGATCCTGACTAGTCTCCCAGTCCCTGCTGCTGAAAAACATCCCCACAGCATGATGATGCCACCACCATGCTTCACCGTAGGGATGGTATTGGCCAGGTGATGAGCGGTGCCTGGTTTCCTCCAGACATGATGCTTGGCATTCACGCCAGAGAGTTCAATCTTGGTTTCATCAGAACACAGAATCTTGTTTCTCATGGTCTAAGAGTCCTTTAAGTGACTTTTGGCAAACTCCAAGCGGCCTGTAATTTGCTTTTTACTGAGGAGTGGCTTCCGTCTGGCCACTCTACCATTAAGGCCTGATTGGTGGGGTGCTGCAGAGATGGTTGTCCTTCTGGAAGGTTCTCCCATCTCCACTTAGAAACTCTGGAGCTCTGTCAGAGTGACCATTGGGTTCTTGGTCACCTCCCTGACCAAGGCCCTTCTCCCCCGATTGCTCAGTTTGGCCGGGCAGCCAGCTCAAGAAAGTCTTGGTGGTTCCAAACTTATTCTTAAATGGAGGCCACTGTGTTCATGGGGACCTTCAATGCTGCAGAAATGTTTTGGTACCCTTCCCTAGATCTGTGCCTCGGCACAATCCTGTCTCGGAGCTCTACGGACAATTCCTTTGACCTCATGGCTTGGTTTTTGTTCTGACATAAATAAATAATTGGTCATTTAGCAGACGCTCTTATCCAGAGCGACTTACAGGAGCAATTAGGGTTAAGTGCCTTGCTCAAGGGCACATCAACAGATTTTTCACCTAGGCGGCTCTGGGATTAGAACCAGCGACCTTTCGGTTACTGGCACAACGCTCTTACCCACTAGGCTACCTGCCGCTCTCAACTGTGGGACCTTATATAGACAGGTGTGTGCCTTTCCAAATCAGGTCCAATCAATTGAATTTACCACAGGTGGACTCCAATCAAGTTGTAGAAACATCTCTATGATGATCAATAGAAACAGGATGCACCTGAGCTCAATTTCGAGTCTCATAGCAAAGAGTGTGAATACTTATGTAATAAGACATTTATGTTTTTTATTTGTAATAAATGTGCAAACATTTCTAAAAACCTGTTTTTGCTTTTGTCATTATGTGGTATTGTGTGTAGATTGATGAGGAAAATGTTTTATTTAATACATTTTAGAGTAAGGCTGTAATGTAACAAAATATGGAAAAAGTGATGGAGTCTGAATACCTTCTGAATGCACTGTATACAATTGGACTTTTTCTTCATTCTCCATTCACTTTTTTGGGGAGTGCATTCAGAAGTTATTCATGTATTCAAGGTATCCATAACCTTGAAAGTTCCTATCTAGGACAAGGACATTGAGAAAGTTCTGAAAGGGACACTTTTAATGGGACTAGCTGTTCAAAGAGGCAGGGGTCTATAGAAGTCATAGACGTCAATAAGAGAACACTAGTTACCTCTGTGAGTGTGGCTGTGAACATGGGTCCTTGAGGGAAGAGAGGTAGAGGTGATTTACAGGTTGCCTGTGGATGGGGAAGGGAAAAACAGGCCCATTGTTCTGAGCCATGTGATAATGGAAGTTGCTGGGCAGTCTGGGAGCTTGAGAGGTTTTAGCCTAGCTTCCTCAACACTCTTCAACACTCCATCTTCCCAGTCAATTAAATGTTATGCTTCTTTAATAGGAGATAACAATACGTTCCAGTAGTTAAATAAATGATTGTAAGCAGCAGAGTAAGTGTCCATTCTCCATTCTGAATGGCAAGCATATTTGCTGGACAACTTTATTAAAATGTGGCTGACTCAACTCTCATATTGTTTGTATCAGACTCGGCTTAACGCTTATAATTACTGGATCTTGTGATACATTACTTGACATTTGGAAAGGATAACAAGGCTACAGTATGAATGATGCAGCGCAGATCGATCATTCGGTGCCAGAGGAGTAGTGTTTTTCACAAAATTAAAAATTGCGGAAAATCCATCATGGCAGACCTTATGGGTCCCTGAGGCAAATTTGTTCCTTGTGAGGAGAGGGACCTATGTACCGAATGTCATTACTTTAGGTCAAACAGGGTGTGGGGCATGACCTTTCAAAGTTTGCATTTTCAATCGCTTGTTATAGCACCACCACTCAGTGTAATTTTGTGAATGCCGGATCTCTATGGCAAGACGCATCATTCGCCCATGTTTCATCAAAATCAGGCCAGTGCTGTCTGAGGTATCGTGTGTGACGAACGTACTAACGGACAGAGACAGATCCACATCGTGGGGGACAATTCGAGTCTGTATTCAAGCCTAGCAAGGGACTAAAAGGATAGTTCTTAGATGCCTTTTTGCAGACACTCTATTGGGAGTAGTTAATAAAGAGGAGCTAGCGAGGGGAGGAGGGGAGTAGTTATCATTAAACACCATTTAACTTCCAAACACTTTGCTGCCATAAAATGAAGCTGTGCCTAGGTCCTCCGGCTTAACGGCTGTCACAAATGGACTCGGGTCACTTCTTGGCTAGAGTTTCACTGCACCGCAGCTTAATCTGTTGGTACGTGTTGGTGGGGCTCGACACCCCTCTACCCCCTCCTATACCTCACTCCCCAAAACCTTGTCCTTTGGCTCAGAGGAACCCAGATGTGTGTGTGTGTGTGTGTGTGTGTGTGTGTTTTCTTCCGTTCCATCAGAGAAGTGTGCCTTTGAGGCTTTGATCGCCCTTTCCCTGTAGAGAATCATTGTACCATCTAAACTGCTGTGAAATATATTTTCCATAACCCAAAATATTGTATTTTCAGCTTTTTGAAGGTGGTGTACAAAACCTTAAGTGAAAGACGCAAAAACGAAACTTACTAACGGGAAGTATAGAAATAGCACACACAGAACAGATCTACCGCTTCTTAGACTTGCTTTCAATGAGAATGACAGATCTATAACACACATTTCTTTGTGAATTTGGTCAGATCGCCCAAAAAGTTACATATTGCTGATTTAATTGGATTCTGTGAGTTGCGTTGGTAAAGGAGAGTAATCGAGAGATAAGCGAGTGGGGAATGCATTATTTATTTATGTATTACAAGTTGGTGTGCGTGCACACACACACAAACAGAAGATTTGACGCACGTACAGGTATCTCTCAGATAAACAGACAGACCTTGAATATAACCATTCAAGCCTTTTGTGAACTTTCATTTAATAGACATGCTCTTTAACGATGGAGTCTGCAGTAGGGGGAAACAGCGCTGCCCCACCACTGTTATTGCTTTTGTTGCCGAGCTGAGGAGCATCACGCAGCATGGCAAGAGAAATGTCAATACATATTCTTCTCTTTTATCACCTGTGCAATGATGTCTGAGGGAAAATCTGTGTTTGTTGTTTTCAGTAACTTCTTTGTTATTGTAATATCACAAATGGACATGGCTGTTTCACAATTAAAGGTCCATTACAGACGTATTTATCTCAATATCAAATCATTTCTGGTAACAATTAAGTACCTTACTGTGATTGTTTTCAATTAAAATGGTCAAAAAGGAACAAAAATAGCTTCTTAGCAAAGAGCTATTTCTCAAGAAAGAATTTTGCTAGGACTGTCTGGGAGTGGTTCTGAGTGGGGAGGGGATAACTGAAAACTAGCTGTTATTGGCAGAGAGGTTTGGAACTCTCTTTCTTATTGGTCTATTAACATATTTAACCAGGCAGGCCAAAACTCCATCCCACCAAAACTGGCTGAAATTTCAGGCGCTCTTTTCAAACAGTTCTTACACTAAAAGGGCATTATCATAATTTTCACAATTTCACAGTATTATTCCAACTTCATAGTGTGGAAATATATCTAAAACACAGGTAAATCAAGTTTTTGACTGCACTGGGGCCTTTAAGGATTCCAGCTTTAAGCAAACAGTGTTCATGTTCTCTCGACAAACTCTCTCCATGTCAACAATCTAAGATGACAATAACCTGAGAAAGTATTGAACCCATCTGTCGGGTTAAGCAAGAAAATAACAAATGCATAGAAAGAGGGAAGAAAGGCAGAACAAAGAAAATAGAGAAAATACTTTAGCGGTGGACTGAAAGGAGACCAAGGCCAGTGGAAGAGACTGATGGGTTCTTGGAACACAGAAAGGGCTTTGTCGGATATTCTCTTTCCTCCTGCTCGCTGAATTATTGAAGAAACAAAACCATGTTTCAGTGTTATAACTGGATTTGCCTTGAAGGCCTGGTGGGGATGGTGTTTGTGGAGTGTTTGTGTGTACATGTGCTTGTGTGTGTGCCTGTGTGTGTGTGTTGGTGGAGTGTGGGGGAGATGGGGGGTAAATGGCTGGGTCCCAAGCTATTTCCATAAACTGACTTATGAAAACCATACGAGACACTCTGAGAAAGAAACACACACTGCACTTCCCCAAACCCCTCCAAAACTCTCAAAGGCATCACTCACACACACGCACACGCATTACACACACACACACACACACACACACACACACACACACAAACACACACACACACACACACACACACACACACACACACACACACACACACACACACACAAACACCCTCTTCCAAAAACATACAATTCTTTTTTCAATTCCCTCCCTCGCTCCTTCCCCTTTTGCCCACCCTCCCTCTCCTTCCCTCCCTCTCTCTCTCACCGAAATCTGGGGACAATCTGCAAGCACTCAACTCCAGCATAGAAGTCGGAGAGAGAAAGAGAGAGAGAGAGAAGTTTTGAGAGGTAAGAAAAGTGATGAGGAGAGAAAAGTTGAGATATTAAGGAAAAAACAAGACGAAACAAATACTAAAAAAGTTGAAGAGGAGAGAAAAAACTCAAGGAAAGTATAGATTGGGCAAAAAGAGAGCAAGAGAGAGAGAGTTGGAGAAGTGAGCCGTGGAGAGTGAACTAATGATGGGTTCCCCAGTGCGCTGTGCTCCTGTTCTAGTCCTCTCACTACTGGGTCTGTTCTGTTATACTCCCCCTGTAAGTGGCCAGGATCTACAAGAGAGGGACGCTCTGTGCAACAAGGACGGCTGCTTCGTGGTCTACTTCCAGCGCAAGACCTTCCTGGACTCCTGGAGGAGCTGCAAGGAGAAGGGAGGCAACCTGGCCACAGTCAAACACCAGGAGGAAGCTGACACTATCGCTGCTCTCTTCTCTGGCGTGGAGCTACGTGGCCCGAGGACCAAGGTCCAGGTGTGGATCGGTCTCCAGAGACAGCCTCGCCAGTGTACCGCCTCTCGCCCTCTCCGTGGGTTCTCCTGGATTACAGGTGACCAGGATACCCGCTACACCAACTGGCTGCGGGACGACTCGCCCAGTACCTGTTCAGCCCCACGCTGTGTGGTTATGACCTATGGCACAGCCGCCCACGAGCAGCATGATAATTTTAAATGGCTGGACGGCTCGTGTTCGGTGCCAGTGGATGGCTACCTGTGCCGCTACACCTACAAGGGCATGTGCCCGGCAGTTTGGAGCGAGGGGATTGGCAATGCCCTCTATAGTACCCCCTTCAGCCTCCTCAGTAGCCTCCTTACCCACGTGCCCTTTGGATCTGTAGCCACGGTGCCCTGCCCGGGGGGCACCAAGGAGGAGCAGTCTGTTCTGTGTATGCTAAGGGAGGATGGCACTGTGGGGTGGTCCAGGGAGACACCCCTCTGCTCCGACACCGCAGAGAAGAGCTGGTGCGATCGGAACAATGGAGGGTGTGAGCATTTCTGCCAGGAGGCCGGGGAGCACTACTACTGCGAGTGCTCGGACGGCTTCCAGCTCGGCGACGACGGGCAAACATGCGTCGCTGCCGACCCGTGCCATAGTGCCCCCTGCGAGTTTGAGTGCCTGCCCCTGTCGGACGGCTACCGCTGCGCCTGCCCCGAGGGCTACATGCTTGCCCCAGATGAGCGCGGCTGCCTAGACGTGGACGAGTGCCTGCAGAGCCCCTGCGAGCAGCTGTGCGTCAATGCTCCAGGGACCTTCGAGTGCCGCTGCCGCGAGGGCTACCGACCGGTCGAGGAGGGAGAGTGTGAGGACGTGGACGAGTGTATGGAGGACCCGTGCGAACACGCCTGCGAGAATACGCCCGGCTCCCATGTTTGCCACTGTCACCTGGGCTTTTCCCCTCCTCCCGAGGAACCCTCCCACTGCCAGGACACTGACGAGTGTCAGATCCCTGGGACATGTCAGCAGATGTGTGTGAACTACGAGGGAGGCTTCGAGTGTTACTGCGAGGTGGGCTACGAGCTACTCTCGGACCACTTCTCCTGCAGGAAGATAGGTGAGGGAGAGGACTCATCCCCAGCAGCCACGCCCTCTTACCCATGGGTCACCCGCCACCCCGGCCCCATGTGGAACCCCCACGAACCTGTGTACCACTGGACCCCCGCGCAGACCAACACTGACTGGCCTCTGGAGACGGAAGAGTCCCTGGACTGGCTCACAGACCCCCCCAGGGTGGAGAATGATGTCATCTGGGTCACCAGCGCACCCCAGCAGGAGCCCGTCACAAACCACAACCCATTCATGGTCCCCCCCATGGAAGAGCCCGAGGAGGAGGAAGATGAAGAAGAAGAGGAGGAGTATACTCCAGGCTGGAGCACCGTGATTTTGAATTCTCCAGCCCAGGTCCAGCCCAAGCTAGAATCCATGCCCAGTCCCTCTCCCAGCCCCGAACCCACCTCTACCCCCACACCAACTCCCACGCCCGACTGGTACGAGGAGGAGGATGACGAAACCACTACCAGTTCCTCAGTTCTCCCTACTTCCACTATCTCGGGAGGGGCGTGGAACTGGCTCTGGTTCAGCCCAGCCAGCCAGGACCAAGTACTCACCACGTGGCAGGAGCCAATCACTGACCAGTATGTCCCTGTGTCCAACTATGATGATACTGTTGATAATGAGGAAGAGGGGGACATTGACAATGGGTGGGTGACTTCCCCTCCAGAGCAGGACCAGGGCCAGGGTGAGAACCAGGACCAGCACACCCCTTCGCTGCCTCCTCCAGTTGCTCCCAAAACCCCCATCACCCCCAACCAGGGCGTGGTGGAGGTAGAGGGGGAGAATGAGAGGGAGCCGCCCCAGGAGGACGAGAGCAGCCAAAAGCAGGGTGGTGGCAACTGGCTGCTGGTGGGCCTCCTGGTGCCCCTCTGCATCTTCATCATTATTATGGTGGTGCTGGGCATCGTCTACTGCACCCGCTGTGCCGTCACGCCGCGTAACAAGACCGCCACCAACTGCTACCATTGGATCTCCGGGGCGCACGACAAGCAGGGCGCGCCCAATCCCAGCAAGGGGATGCAGTCACACGTTTAAACAGATGAATGAGGAAAGACTTGTACATAAATAAACGGTTAAATAAATAAGAGATATAAAGAAGGTAAGAGAGGACTTGGGTGGTTGTTGTACTGTATCTGCCTCCTCCTATCCCATTGGCACTCTGTTGCTGTACTTTGACTCTTTGAACACTTGAATGTTTCGGTGGAATATCGGTTGAAAGAGAAGAACAGGGAAGCGATGCTAAAAAAACACTGATCCCTTTCATGGGGTGCTTTGACATGTGGTAGAAAAAACGGCATAATTGTTGCTTACACTGATCTCAAAGCACAATATATAGGCTTATGATTGCACTGTAGGGTCAATAGAATCCATCCATTGGGATTGTTGTTGAATACATCTGGTTATATTTACGGATGCTGTGGGAATATGCTGTCAATATATCACCAGTGCCGTCTGAAAACCAAAATCAAAGAACTGTACTGTAGCTTTTAGCATTTTTGTAGTCCATGAAATCTGGGTGTGTGTCTTTCAAACAAATGCTGAGGTTTTTAATGCTCAATTGAGGTCATTTCCAAGCGTGGTGTCGCAAATTACAATTTATGTCAACTTTGTTAAAGAAGCATCACATGCAGCTTTATATTTAGGTATGCAAACTATGCAAGCATGACTGTCATGACGCTTTTGAGGAAAAGCAATCATTCGGATATTACTTGTATGGCTTGCGCTTTTTAAAGTGTCGGAAAACAAATCAACTCACACCACAGACCAAAAAATGTTATACGCCTGTATATGTGTTTGTGTTACTATAATTGTGTACGGTATAATTTGTAGCAATGAAGTTTCTAGAAAATGTGTTAGCGTCATGATTCCTGATTTAATGAAGTGCCTTTTGTTTTATATAGACCACACAAAACTCTTGGTAATTCCATGGAATGTCTGTCTGTCTGAGGGGATGTTTCCTTCCATTCAACTCCAATTAAACTCTCCTAGTCCTCTCACCCACATTCCTCATATGGGTTAGAGCGCCGATGTTAGATGTGTCCATATTACATACTATAGGGACTGCAATGGGGGTCACAGGCTCCCGATTGACTTCAGCATTGACCTTGTTAGCGGAGTAGTGATCTTTCAATCGTTCCCCAACCCCATGTCACATAGCTCTTTAGTACGCCCCCTCCCCATTGTCACAGGCCTGCCCATAACATTATATGGACTTTAACCATGGTGGAGCAGTACCAACTTTTAGGTGTTTGAAATCAATGCGCCCTCTAGCAACTTGAGAAGGAACTGCAGTCCCCATTCAAAGGATGGCTTGTACAATGTCAATGACAGACAATCAAATCAACTGAAGATGTGCCTTCTGATCTAAAGGATTATTGAATGATGCCTTATGCGTTTTCATTTTTGTTACCTGTTACGTTTTAAGTAATTGCTAATTAAATGTTGCGATAAGGGTTCCATCAATATTCATGTCTTGTGTTTTAATGGTTCATGGTGCAATCAATTCATGATGTAGGCCCTAGTGCAGTGTCTGCTTTATATGTTGAAATCACAGTTTGAATGTGATTCCTTGTATAGAGAGAGTATATGGAAGTCCCAGTAAGTCCAAGAGGCCGCACTGGGAGGAGAGGTGGGAGGGCGTGTGAACGCAGGAATACCACTACTCTACAACAAACACAACATTTGAAATCCGTCCCTCAAAGCCCATAGGGTTGGGAAATTATTCATAAAAAGTCTCCCACAACAATCTTATCAGGCAACACCAGTCCATAACCAGGCATTGCTTATCAGTCCATCAAAGCTGCTACACTCTTAGAAAAAAGGGTTCCAAAAGGGTTCTGCGGCTGTCCCCATAGATGCAGTAAAGAGGTCAATGGAACGCAGACCGAGGGGGATCGAAGAAGGACGCCAGATTGGCACACATTCAACAAATCTGATCTAACAAAGTGGATATTGATGTATTGTAACAGGCCCACAATGTGGTTAATAAAGTCCGATTTTGATATATTTAGAAGTATTTAGAAGTAGTCCCTTTTCAGTTTTTAAAGAAGTGACTGCTAAATCTAGGAACATACAGAGTATGTCTCTATGTATCTCTGTCTGTATGTTCCTAGTGCTAAATGCTAACTCCTGTTCGTATATTCTGGTAGCATAGCTAGCATAGAGAAATCGGTGGTGGTAGTCAATGTCATTTTTTAACTGTAATGCAGTTGATTGGTGACGATGACATGAACATGTATTGGGGTTGACATCCAATCAAGCATTATACTCCGATTTTTACCTCAACATAGTGTGAAATACACATATAAACAATAGGCTAAATGTGGGCTAATTTAGCTAGGGGGCAATGAGGAGATTCGGAATCTTTCCACCATTGCATCTTTCCACCACACGTTTCCATGGCATTTCCATTGTTTTGGTCAAGTTCCATTGACCTCTTTACCGCATCTATAGGAGAACCTCTTTTGGTATCATGTAGAACTATTTTGGGTTCCACGTAGAACCCTCTATAATAATAATATGCCATTTAGCAGACGATTTTATCCAAAGCGACTTACAGTCATGTGCGCATACATTTTTACGTATGGGTGGTCCCGGGGATCGAACCCACTACCCTGGCGTTACAAGCGCCATGCTCTACCAATTGAGCTACAGAGGACCACACTGTGGAAAGGGTTCTACCTGGAACCAAAGGGATGCAGCCAGCCCGAATGCAGCCAGCCAATGGCCTCCCTGTGAATCTGTGAGGTGATCGCTCACAGCTGATAGATCTGTTGGTTTAGAGCCTTCTGTTTCACTGACTACAGAAATATATTTTTGTTAGTATCTTTATTCCTTTCTTTGCCACAGACAGACTGCAGCCGAAGGCCTCCCTATAAGGTGATCGCTCATGGGCCCTTCTGTGTGTTCAGGTTTATCCACTTAGACACAGTGGGGTTGTGTTGTGATATATTTTGCTATATGTCGTTAAGGGGTGCCTCCTTGATGATGTAAGCCCAGTAGGGACGGTCTGGTCAGCCACTCTGCCTGCCTCCCGCCATGCTCTGGCGCATCTGTCACTCTAATCAGCTGATTATGCAATAGAAGTGCCGGCTGATCATTTAATGGATTGACGCACAAGAATCATATACCACCAAACAGTAACGTCGGCAACAGCTGGCTTTGCCATACCTACGTTCCTACTTACCTGGGCAAGTCAGCTATCTCCAAAAGCATGAGTGTATCAGTGGAATAGTGGTGTGCTGGAGCTCTGTCAAGAATGTCAAATATTTAATAATCCACAGAAGGGGTTGTCATTCCTTGGAGTATAACAATGAAGTGATGAGGAAAAGTTCAGGCCGACAATTTACATTCGATAGTCTGTAATGCTGATGGGTTTGGCGCAAGTTCCTCAATCAGAATTATAATTGGTCTTAAAACTATGTGAGTTATCGAAATTATAGAATTCGTCACTAATTTAGAATCATCCAACAAAGTAGATCAGATAAGAATAACAATAGGTGTTTTTGGGGGGGACAAGAGCTTTAAAATCTGTGAAAAGTGCTATTTTCTGTTTCTAACTTGACATTATACCGGTCAAAATGTCTTAAAGGTGTGGTCCACTTCCAAAATGAAGTGAAATCCAGACACACATGCAATCAATCCAGCTTCAAAAAGTTAGTTTTTTCATACCCCCAACCTTCAGGCGCAAAAAGAATAAGAGCTCCCATTCATGCTCTGACTGTTAATGTGAAGCTCTTTTCTGATTTGAGAGAGAATCTGTACCATCAGTTTTACTCATTATACATTCCGAGATGAAGTCAGAAATGCATTGAACAGAGCACAAATAAGGACAGGTGCCAAGTAAGTATGTGAGAGAGATCACGAGTGTGTGTCTGCGTCTCTGTCTGCTTTTTTCATACGCACAGTAATGTGACAAATTAAAGCCATCAATTTCCAACCATCACCAGCAAATAATGCCAGACTCCTCCTTGAATGGCCAACTCCTCATTTTTTAAAAACTATATCAACAAACATAGGAAGTCGATTCTGAACTAATACGTGGCGTTTATATTAGAGACATTCTCCAGGTCAGGAACCAGATCTATTCTTTAACCCTTCACAGTCCTCCCCCGGTCGGTCCTCCCTCAGCCCCTGTGCTGCAGCCTAATCTTAGTCATGAAAGCAGGGTCCTTGACTTCACCCTGCCTTTCCATTTCCTCTCCGGCCACGAGGATTACACCGCTGGCTGGCTCAGAGGAGAGAGTCCCTGATGGGCTGAACCCCCCTGCCCTCCTTTTCATCTATGCTGTGCCTCCCCCTCTCCTCCCCTCCAGACATCTGAGAGAGGATCTCCCTGACTCACTCAGTACTTTTCAGAGCTGCTGTGATGCTTAGTTTTCCATCATGGAAAGCACATTCGTTGCTGTTGTGTTAAGCGAAGTAATTTGAAAATGTTGTGAATATTGATGGGACTGTCACTCTCAGTCTCACCCTGCTCTGATCAATGGTTTATAATTACAAAATGTGCTCCTTTGCAGGGGATTGTGTTGAATCTAATGGATAGCGGACAGTGCCGCGACAGATGTAGGATCTTAATTTGATCACTCTGTTGAAGGATAACTTTCCTGCAATGCAAATTTAAAACTTGTATTGTATTTGAGATTTGAAAAGGCTTCTGAAGTTTGTGATTTCCACTTTGACATTTCAGACTTGATTTTCCCTCACGAAAATGTTACACATTAATTCACATTTCCTGTTAGTGTAGGATTATTTTCCTGCTGTAGCAAACTGGCTCAAATGTAGATCCTACATCTGTAGTTGACTGACTGGATTTGTCTGCCTCTTTGTTTTGAGCAACCACTGGGTTTCTGGTTGACATTTCAGACTTGATTTTCCCTTACGAAAATGTTACACTTGAATTCACATTTCCTGTTGGATTATTTTCCTTCTGTAGCAAACTGGCTCAAATTTAGATCCTACATCTGTAGATGACTGACTGGATTTGTCTGCCTCTTTGCTTTGAGCAACCACTGGGTTTCTGGTCGAGTGCCAGA